TCAAAATAATATATAAAATGTAGTTTAAAAAAAATATTATCAAAAAAAAATGTTATAGTCCAATATATTTTTATATTAATAAAAATCAATAATCTTATTGAAATACTATAGAAATTAGTTCCATCACTGAAATCTTGCCCTATTAAAACATCAAATACTGAAATCAATCAATGTATTTACCAAAATTACTAAATAAAATTTCTATGTACTTATTTAAATTTAATATCATACACATAGAAATAATTAATATATTCAAAAATATAACATCATCTACTGAATTAAAATGCTAATTAACAATCATTATAACTCAAATAAAATATCAACCAAATTATTTAAAATTTTAAAAACACCTATTTTCAATCAAATTGTTCGAAATATATCACCAAAATATATATTGAATTACATATAAAAATTTAAATGTTCAAAATGTAATATTTATATTCAAATACTTCACATTCAAAAGTATATTTTTTGTGACAATATATATATCAATATTAAAATCCAATTTGATACATTATTACTAATCCAATTTGATACATTATTACTTATTGTTTATTTTCATCAAAGAATATCATATTACCCCATATATAATGAATTTTCAATCAGTTTAAACAATAGGTGAATGTCAACAATAAATTTTTTATTTGTGAGAGAGAGCGAGATAAATGTTTAAAACAAATCAATTATTTGATCATATTATTGTGCACAAGGCACTTAGTGTTTAAAATTTAATAATATTTCAGCCATGAATTAATTTAAAAGCCAAAGTTTCCAGAGATTCTACTAAAAGAAATATTTATTCTTAATACCAGATTCGAAACCACGCGACGGCACCATATATTAAAGCTGTGGTGATATGAAAAAAATTAAAGTTTATGGTGTTGAAGTAGAATATAATTAATAAACAATGAGAAAATCATTAAATAAAACTTAATCAAATTAGCCGTATTAATAGAATAATATAAAATATAGGATACAATCATCCTAAACAACCTAGCAATTAACTGATTAAACTTACTACCACACGTGGTGGTTAAACTAACAATTATAATGGTAGTACAAAGCTATAAAGAGTCTCTGGAAATAAAAATATTAAATTTAGATATAAGTTAATTAAGCTGAAATAAAAAAGAAACATAATCCTAAGAAAACGACAAAAGAGTTACTTACACATTTTTATTCCATCATATCATATTGAGGTCACTGATACATTAAAAAATGTATATATCAAATTTTATTTTACATTAATTCAGAAATCTAAGATCAATTTAACTCATTAATTCTGCCATAAATTTTACGGATCAAAATGGATCCTGAAAACTATCACAATTTCTTTTCATTGTAACGAACACATTTCACCACGTTCTTGGAGAGAACAACGGCAGGCCGAAGCCTCCGCTCCTCACCGTCTCACATCATCAACTGAGATATCAAATTACTTGAAAAGGGACGCTTCACTGTCGTTGCCACCATTCTAATACTTCCTTCCCCAATTCTCGATATAGGTGTCTCTGCCCTCGAGTTGGAATTCGGCTATATCTGCTCCTAGAATCCTGACCCATAGTCATTAGAATCTGAAGTCTTGTCCAAAAACATTATTAGAACAAATTGTGGAGTGTGAAAAGTTCTTATCTATAAAGAGTGAAATCTGAAGTCTTGTCCAGAAACATTATTAGAACAAACCGTGGAGTGTGAAAAGTTCTTATCAATAAAGAGTGTGAAGAATTCAAAGTCTTATTAGTGCCTCAAAAAATTATTGTTACAATGTGTAACAACCTTTATGGGTTTGGTAGTCATTACAACTACCAGATAATCAACAGCAAGTTTTCAAGCTTTTCATCAGAAAGTGATAAGCGAAATTTAGTTCGATTTTTTTTTACTTCAGAAAAAATTCTCTCGCACTCTGCATTACTATGCGGATTATTTATTTTATATTACAATATTTTTAAACTGTTGCAGAACTGTTTAGAAGTAAGTATCTTTCTAATATTAAATGTAGAATTCCATCTTGTAACAACATCCTGAATCAAATTATTTGATTGCTCAATGCCATTATTTTTTTTGATAGTTTAGCAACTTTCCATTGCATGTAGGGCTCCGTTTAAAAAAAGTGACTACAGTTTTAATTTTCTCAACTAATTCATTAAGTAGCTTCTACGTATCATGCAGTGTAAGGTTCAAAGTATGAGCTAAACGACGGAAATGTTTTAATTTCAATTTACAGCGTTTTTCTCATTGGTTGCGTTATATGCAACACAAACTGAAATTTTATTGGATACATTAAATGTGTCAGTTAAATCTTTTATACTCGCGGCCAGATGCAAAGCTGTATGAGAGTCATCATATTTCCTCCACCCCCATAAGCACGGTTTTCAAATCCAATTCATTATCGATAAAGTGACCAGTGACCGCCAAATATCTCTCATTATTCCTCGATGTCCAGGAATCTACTGTTAGACCGATACTTTCCACATCCTCCAGTTTCTCACGAATAATGTACGAACATTTTTCATATGTTGTGGGGAACCAATTCGCTGAAATAGTTTTTTGGTGTGGTAAATTATAGTTAGAGCTTTTACAAAACTTTTGAATCCTTCGTCTTCTATAATTGAAAAGGGTTGGAAAACCTGTGTGAACAGTTTTATAAATGCGTCCTCTATTTTCTTTCTATCTGAAATCGTTATCTTTCTGGGTAAAAATTCTTGAATTTTATGTTGCTGGATCTCGTTTGTTGAACGATGACTGTCGGTTCCTCTGGTTCATGAGTAATTGGAGAAATGTTGTCTGGTTCATCATTCGAATGGCTAGGCTCAGATGCACAAATTGTTAAAACTATAAGCAGATTGAAAGTAATATATATTGAAAGAAAACATCTTTCTCTTTAAATATATTTTCACTTTTGAATGCATCTAGGCACGGTACTCTCTTGAATTCAATTATGACATCAGTTTTACATACTCATTCCATTATAGTTAATCTTAGTTCCTTGATTTCAACGTGCAACACATGTATTATTGGCTCTTCTTTCAGACACAAACTTGTGAATAGTGAAGAACTTGTACTGATAAAATTTAGCTCTACTTTCACGCTTGTCTTTTATAAGAAAGATATGATTTTTTTGTAGCTGATTAATTGTTTTGATGGAATGAAATTTAAAAAATACTTCACAATTGCATCCCACTGCTTCAGGATCAAAGGTCAGCCACCTTGAACCCATGTGTTTAAGAAATGCACGTTTGGCACTTTCTTCTTAATCTGAATGCTAGAAAAGTCTTCCCAGTTTGCAGGCCAATCTTGAAAATAGTTAAATGTACTAATAATTAAGCCTGATGTATACAGCCAGCTTTTTGCAATGCATTATGCATGATGTGAATGTTGCAAAAGCCTTATATCAATTAGCCTTACATTTCTAACCAATTTTGATTCACCCTTACATTACACCCTTCACCAAGGTACGACTTTAGTTCTTTGTTGTGTCATGTTATACGAAACAGGTTGCAAAATTAAAATTTAGCATTTCACCAAGAAAAATTATTCGGAAATCTCATAATTAATACTTATTGAAATTTTTTGTAGGTTGGTAAGATTTCAAAATTAGTTAGGAGCACATTTTGTAACATTATTTTCACAAAACAACATGGTAATAAATGAGAATTTTCAAAAACATAATGAATAAACATTGATTTATAAATTAGCAATAACTGTCATTTCAAAGTTGTCATTCTAAATAAAAGTAATACTTTATTTTGTATATAAGTGAATTATTATATAATCTATATGATAAATTTTATAAAAAATTATTTGTCAGTGAAATATATGCACCTAAAAGTCAAAAAGCACCACTGGCATATGTTATTGTATCGGTTTTATTACTTCTTGCATTTCGCTTTTTTGTTTTACTAGGATTTTTTTGGGCACTTCTCCGTCTGTCTTTTCGCTAAGCAATTGTGATCGAGAAACTGTTTTCAAGATCCTGTTTATCATTTGCGAGTTCTTAAGATCTGACATGGCCCAAATTATAAGTCTCGACAGCCTCACACACTGCAATTTCAAGTCTCTTCTTTGAGATGAACACTTTCTTTGGGCATTTCCTCCATATACAACTATGGAGGCTTTGGTTCAGATTCTGGGTCTTGCCAGCTACACAGCGTTTGAGAATTTCTTCTGATGTCAGTCTTTGATAGACTGGCAGAATTTTTTCACCTACCGTCTCTGAGAAATATGTTTTCATTTGAGAATGTTTTGTTTTGACACCCGTCGCAACACCTCTTTGGTAAAAACACCATGAAGTTGCACCTTTTAGGCATTTATTGTGCAGTGGTTTTGAATCAGTTGATGAACAGTGAATTACTGTGGCGTATATAGCGGTTTTCATATCTTTGACATCAGGGACATTATCTTTTATCGCTTTACGATAATAGTTTTGCAACTTCATGATTTTAAGATTTGTTAAGCTACCTTTTTTATGGCCTCCCAAAGTTACTTTTTTTGTACGTGACTCTTTTTTGTTGCGAAGCGCAGTTCCGAGACGTTTCGCCACATGGTTTAAACATTCCTTAATTTTAATGTTTCCGTAAACTTTATTCTCCGTGACAAAGAGGAATGTTTTTGAATCGCCATCCCTCAACATTGATATGTATCGCATACCACACTCTTCTATAGAGCGAGTCCACATTATGTTTGCCGCATGCATTTCGCCTTGCAAATATTGTGGCCAGTGTAATCTAAGTGTTGTTCAGCATCAATCACTTGAATACTCGGTAAAATTGGAACTGTCATGCGAATCGCGTGGAGAGTCTCATGGCTCCATTTTCTCGAGCCGCCGACAAAAAGTAAACTCATCCTTTGAAGTTAACAATAAACTTGTTAGTGCATTTTTAGCAATTGGTACACGCTGCATTAGAAACTTATTCAGCGATATTAAACATGCCGACTATGGACAAAAAAACGTTTTCAAAATGTTTACATAATTTATCGATTAAAAACAAAGAACTGAAGGTTCAAATGCTATAATGCTCACGTAAAATTGTGAGAGAGTCCCATGTGAGTGTAGACTCGTCTTTGATAGCACGATTTTGAACATTAGAGTCTCGTACGACGGCGCTTGGCACTTGTGCCAGCAACTCAGTCCACATATCTTTGCCAGCGACAATATAACTAGCTTCGGAACTTGTCGAGCATCTCATAACATCAGATGTGCATGTATCTGAGACTGAAGTCGAGCAACTGCAGAGAAAGGTATTTTTAAATAAGCATCACTAGTAACTTCCTGATGATACTTTCTGGAAATTTCAGCCAACATTTTGCGTCTCTCTCATGGACGGCCTTTAGATTTTTGATATTTTGATTAAATCAGATCTATTATTTCAATTTTAAGAAGTAAGTAATCCAGAAAAGTAGTAAGTTTTGAACAAGAAGAGGACACAATAGTGAAAACAAGGAAAAGAAAACAATTAGAACAAGCAAATAAAGCAAAATTACCATAAATTTAGTTCTGAAAAGAACTGTTTTGATCAGAAATATAGTTGAAAAATCAAAGAAAGAAAGCTGGATAAACCGTAAGCAAGCAATAATTTTGTATCCTGCGTGATACCAGTTGCCATACTATTCTAATTAAATTATATCAAAAAATAAATAAATGGCTCTTCTGCTAGAATATACAGTTAGTTTCTAGAAAGCTGGTTTCATACTGGAACATTTCAGGCAGAAGTAACATTTCTAACTGTGTAATAGAGTTTCTGCTTGACAGCAAGGGGGTGTGGCACTTAAAAAACGCTAATAAATCGACGAAAAACCAACATATTTAAAAAAAATTTATTACAAATGATCATGATCGTTCTAATCATGATAGAGTACCTTAAATTTTGTCTAATTTCAAGGACTTTTCCATGACTTTTTCAAAACCTTTTTAAAAAATTTCGTGACCTCTCTAAATAGCATTAGACAAGTATAAATGGTATTTTTAAGCAATGGCATTTCAATATTTAGTGCCTAGAACTCTACAAATATACACAAAATCCCAGTAGCCTATATTCTTTATTATTAATACACATTCCTTGACCAGCACTTCCACTAGTTCAAGCGGTCTACGAGGGAAAAATGCACAATATTACCGTGATTACAGAGCACGGAATCGAGCGGAGCAGGAAATAGAGTCGTTGAATATTACTAGTGATCCTTCCACGACTGCTGATTCTTCTACAATTAACGTCGCAGGTTGTGAAGTTTAACTTCTTTCACGGACTTCGGAGGGACTCCACGCACTATTTTTTTTATAAGATATCGTTTACATGTAATAGTTGAAGAATTTATCTCCAAAATTGGCATTCGATTAGAGTCAGACACAGGCAACAATCATACTCCAACAACAGCAGAAAGTTTTCTTTAGCTGCTGCATATTTGTAATCCTAAAAAATATTAGTTAAAAAAAATTTTGACAATTGTATTTCGTTTGGCGATTCCAGCCAATTGATGCATATTATTTATGAGATCGTCGTCACTAACAGTTTTTTTTCTCTCTGCAATATGGTCACCCATCGTCAGAGCCAAGTTATGAAGGACAGCAGTAGCGTCAATGATTGTGTGTACATTCTGTAATTTACACCTGAAAGATACGTCCAGACAGGCAAATTTCCGCTTCCAAATACCATATTGATGTTCTACTACATTGCGAGCACTTGCATGCGTTGAATTATATTTGTAAGGAAAAACACTATATGAGAAAATAATTTATCTCTTTATATACCAGCTAATTCTATTTACATCCTATACTTTACTAACTGCCGGGCCACCTTGTTACTATATTTCTAATGAAGAGATCCGAATCTGCCATCGTTTGAACATTCAATGCAAATTTTTTTTTTCTTGAGCGGAAGGTTTCAGCTTGTGGCCCTCCAGGGTTTAAAATTGGAATTAGAGTTCAGTCCAACGCCCGATACACGGACGAGAATCCAAATTGCTATAGAATGATTGGCTTACCTAAAAAAAATTAAAATATAACACAAAACAAATTCAAAAATAGCAATGTACATTATAGTAATATTTTAAAATATTATCTCTCACTTTTTTTAAAAAATACAATAATATTGGTAAAGGTGTGTTTTGGGTATTACTAAAAGATATCAAAAAAGGAGATAGCACCAAAAGGCCGGGAACACTTCGTAATAATCCATAGACTTCTATAAATCATCTAAATAATTGCAGTTGAGAGTGAAACATTCAATATTAAATTTTATTCACAAACATATGGACACAAAATATTTACGGACACACACAACAAAAAAGGGCATGCTTCGCAGTCGTAGTTCTAAACAGTTCTCTCTCGAACCAGAGTGTCAGTGTGTGTGGGAGGAGTCGGATTAGCCTTGAGCACGTGATTATCATGCGCTCACTAGAGGAAATTAATAAATGGATTAATAAATTTAATTGCAATTTCCAACAGTGTGTGTATTATATATTAATTAAACAAATACATTTAACTAACTCTGACAATGCCATATTATTATTCTTTTTTTTATTATATACATAATCTGTCGAAAGTAGAAGTGAAAGAAACTATCTACTGGTGAAATAGTTTTAATGTAATGTTAACATTGCTCAGGTTTGTATAAAAAAAAAACCACACATAACAACGGAGAAATAAATAACTAATATAAAATAATTAAATAATAATACTGAAAAACTTACCTCCATTCTTTCTGCTTCTGATTGGGGTAAATAAATATATTGTGGCCTCAATTCCGCTAAACATTGGGAGACCTTGCTAATTATTCTACTGACTGAAGGTTGGTTCATTTTTTGAGTATCTCCCAAATTAATGTGTTGATTTCCAAAAGCATAAAATCTTACAGCAGCTAGAACTTTTTCCGTTGGAGTTAAGGCATTGTTCCAATCTGTATCAGATTCCAACTGACTGCCAATTTTGGAGATGAGTTCTTCAATCGTTGGTTTCAAGAAACGATATCTTTCAAAAAAGTCTATTTCATCTATAATTCTTCTAGGTCATTATTTCTGATAGTTTGGACATATCTTTCCCTTCCTTCAACAGTTTCAAGATCCTCAAGCTCAAAACGCAGCGATAGAATCATCCATCTTTTTTGTTTACAAGCTCCTCAATAGGTAACCCTCCGATAACACGGCAAAAATGGAGGGTTACGAGGTGAGTCAGAACCGTCGATGAAACTGCGAGTTTTACGAAATTTCGGCTGGAGAATAACGTTTCGCACTAAACTCGTGATTTTACTCTTACCCATAGATTACCTGGAGGTCATCTGTGCTGGTGAATACGGGCGTAAAAGACTTCATTGCGTACAAACCTCAAAAAAAAAAAAAATAATTGCAAGAATAATTATAAGCAATAATAACAAATTCTTTCCAAAAAAATTTACGCAAATAATAAAATTCAGAGTGAAAGATTCAATATCATAGTCTGTAGAGTTTAAAAAAAAATTAAATGTTTTTTAGGTCGTTAAGTTTTGTATCTAGTTTAATTTCTATAGCTTTAATCGTTTCTTGTTTTTCGTTAGCACTTTTTCTTAAGCTGTTTGATTTTGTTATCATTTAAAAATTTCTCGATTTCTCTGCAAAATTATCAGCAGACTTCAATAATTTTTTTACGAGTACATCCGTTGCTTTTTTAAATGGTTAATTTCTTCATGAATAATTTCTTTTCTTTTTCTGATCATCTCAGTTTCCCCTTTGTTTTTCTGTTCTGCTAAATAAAGATTATATTTTTGCTTATCACTAGCTGCTGATAAAAGCAAGCCCTTGGTTATACCAACTTTTAAAATACCCCCGACAGACCTAACATGATCAATTATAATTCTTAAAGAGATAATATCGGGTTGAGTAAAAAGTTTTCCGCCAAGGGGAGATACCTCCGTGCCAGCAGCAGCCATTTCCGCGGTAGTTAACCTTTTCTGAAATGGGCTATTGCATTTTAAAGCTGAAAGTTGGAACTACACAACTGTGTAATTTGTTTGTCAAAACTTTATCATCTTGTGCTCCAGAAAAGTGTTTGAAATGGAGCTATCACGTAAGCAGATCAGAACGATTATGTACTATGAGTTCCGAAATAAACTCAGTGTAACTGAATGCCACAAGAAAATGTGTGAAAGTTTAGGTTTCAATACTGTTTCTTATGATACAGTAAAAGTTTGGTTTCGAAAGTTTAATAGTGGAAATTTCAACATTGAAGATGAACCACGTTCTGGCCGCCCTATTGAGATTGATTGTGACCAATTAAAGCAAATTATTGATCAAGACAGAAATGTTTCAACACGAACCA